TCGTGTGACTCATCAACTTATGGACAACAACCTGTAGTTGCTACAACTCTGTACATCACCCTTGTTCTTAAAAATGGGAACCAGTACACTTCTCCATTCATCAGGCATTTTCTCACCCTCAAATATGCCATTGAATATTTGAGTCAAAAACCTCACTGCCATCTCTCCAAGACATCTCCAAACCTCCACTGGTACAATATGTCATCAGGTCCTACTGCCTTCTCCTTCTTCATTCTTTTCAATATTTTATGAACTTCACCTTCACTAATCTTTGCCACTTCCTGGCCCACATTTTCTATGGCCTTTACTCTTGTTTTCCTTTCATTCTCTTAATTCATTAGCTCCTCAAAGTACTCCTTCCATCTTCCCATCATGTTCTTTTCACTTATTAAAACATTACCGTTCCGATCTTTAACAAGCCTGACCTGCTGCACATCCTTTCCAGCCTGATCCCTTTGTCTCACCAAATACTACAAGTCTTTCTCTCCCTCTTTAGTGTCAGCCTCCCATACAACTCATCATATGTTTTCTTCTTTGTCTTTACTACCTCCCTCTTTGCTCTACGTTGCATCTCCTTATATTCCTGTCTCCTCTCTTCAGTCCTCTCACTGTCATATTTCTTCTTGGCTAACCTCATTCTCTGAATAGCATCCTGCACTTCTCTATTCCACCACCAGATTTCCTTATCATCTTTTCTCTGTCCGGTTGACACCAAGTACTTTCTTAACTGTCTCTCTATTTATTGTTGCTGTAGTAGCCCACTCATCTGGAATCTCCTTCTTACCACCAGAGCCTTTAACAGCTACCACCTGATCTCTTTCTTCCTTCCACCATTTGGTCGTCTTCTCTGATTTTACTCTTTTTCTCTTCTCCACACCAACAGTCATTCTACACACAACCATCCCATGCTGTCTGGCCACGCTCTCCCCTGCCACAACCTTACAGTCTCCAATCTCCCTCAGGTTTCCTCTTCTATACAGAATATAGTCTACCTATATACTTCTTCCTCCACTCCGATAGGTCACTCTAAGTTCCACCCTCTTTTGGAAATAAGTATTGACTACAGCAGGGGTGTCAAACTCACTTGCAAAAGGGGACCAAAATTAAAACCTTTTTAAGAGCCGGTTTCACAATCTACATTAACTCAAGTTACTGTAGATACCCAACATTTTTTCTTGGTTGCAGGTTCCTCAACAAGAGTTTTATTGGTCTCATTTGATGTTTCCTGCGGCACATTTGACATCATAATCAAAGATTACTGAAAAAATTCAAGCAATAAAAGTATTTTATGTTTAACATATCTTGGGGGCCAGATAAGATGTCAACAAGGGCCACATTTGGCCCCCTGACTTTGAGTTTGACACATATGGACTACAGCCATTTACATTCTCTTGACAAAACCCACCACCATCTGTCCTTCCTGGTTTCTTTCGCTGTTTTCAGTTACTTTTACTGTATGTTGCAACTTTTTTTTATGAATTCAGAATGTACCTGTTTTGCAGCTAAAACACAAAATGTTGTTATGACCCATACACACACAAAAACAATTTCTGTTACTTCATCACATCTTGGCTAATAAACATTCTGCTTAAAATGTTTTTTTTTTGTATCAGAACACATGAATCCTATTCAGGAAATACTGTAATATAAGTTTATTGCCCATGAACTAAAGTTTAGGGTTTAGTCAGAAATTTTTAAATGTTCTCAACAGATGATGAAAAAGTTTACCATATAACCCATAGGAGCTATTTTTATAGATTTTAATAAATCTGCTTTTGTCAGTATCTTATTCAATCAAGTCTTGAAGGCGTGGCTGATTGTAAGAACAAAAAAGAACCTTGTGGTCAAAAAGCATACACATTCCTTTGGTTGTTTCGAGTCGGTGTTAAGGGCTGAAGGCTATAAACGCTCTGAGCAGATTAGAGTATAAACCAACACACAAACACAGCAACGTGCTGGTGTGAAAGTCAGCACGGTCACATGTTTAAGTGTTTAATGGGATTGGACCTGAGTGTTGGGACCTTGTTCAACAAAGCTTGGACTCACCATGTTTACTCATGGTCACTGAGAAAGCAGTGAAATATATTCTAAATGTCACATTCAGAATGGACCACAATATTTTAAAAGCTTCAGTATTCTAACTAGGTAAAAATTGTGTCATGTGCTTTTAGGTTTGCACTAAATTAAAGATGTGACAAATAGGCAGATTGTGAGAGTGTATAGTATTTAATTTCTTTCTGAGATGTGACTAAATTTTATAACATTTTCTGCAGTTTACATCTCTTTTAGATTTAAAAGTTTATCTGTGTTAATGCTGTTACAATTGTTATTTGATCAAGTTGTTGATACTCAAAGATCCATACTAGATATAAAATATTAGACTTTTAAAATTGATTGATAATATTTCTTTGCATGAACTCATAACAAAAGCAAATATTATTTGAAGCTGAGGGCAGCATTGAATCAGTAAAGGCTGACTGGATATTTAATCTAAAGTTTAATATTCTCTGACAGTAATATAAGCTTTTATTTATTTCTTCCATCCATCTGTCCGTCCGTCCATCCATCCATCCATCCATCCATCCATCCATCCATCCATCCATCCATCCATCCATCCATCCATCCATCCATTATTTGTTTATTTATTTATTTACAAATTTGATCATTTAGGTGTTCCTATGACAGATGAAATTTGTGATTTTATTATGACAAAATTTTAGACAATACATTACAATCATGTGTACATTGTGTAGCACTTAGTATGTGTTGGTGATGGCTCAGCTACTATACCACACTAAACTTTATCTCATATTCACACATTATAACATTCATACAGTGTCTGCCATGTTGACTATACTTTATTAACCTTTCAATTAACACCTACTATCCTTCCTTAACAGTTTGTCAGATATTCTACAGACAACATTTTTTGTAGTAGATTCTTCTGAAGAGCTTTTTTTTTCAGTAGACAGAGGATTTTTCATGAAGCTTCCATGTTGGAACTGAAGAGCTGCATCTTTTTGATGCAAAGCCCAGAGTCTGACAGCTCTGCTTTGTCTCTCAGCAAAATCGCTGCTGGTCACTTTGACCTAATGTCAGAACTGGAGCAAAAACCCACCCCCCAACACACACACACACACACACACACACACCAGCCTTTTTAATTCACCTCACACTTTCACACATGCCCACCAAAATGACTTTCCCTGCTTGAATCATGTTAATAATGAATAGCAAAGAAGTATTAGCAATGAGGATTAGAGAAGAGCTCCTGACTCCTTCATTCACTTTCTCTACCACAAAGTCGTACACCCTTTAATAATCAAGTGAGCAGGAGATGGGATAGCATCCCAGCCCCCAGTCTTTAGCCGGACTGGCGTTCCCTCCTCAATCACCTATCACTACGGCAACCTGTAAGGACAAGAGAACAATCGGGGACATCCGAGGCTGAGCAAACGTCAGGGTGAATAGAGTTGTGTTTGGAAGGGGCTCGAGCAAAACAAGACCGAATTAAATCAAAGCTGAATGCATATTAAGGTACATCAGATGTTTTCAGACATCGTCTGAGATACTCATCAACTGAACTGAACTCCATCAGCAGAAGAGCTGCATGCAGACTGACCCAAACATGCCGTGTCTTGTAAAAAGGATAGCTGAGTCTTCACAGTGGGCTGAAGTGCGTCCGAGTCAGCTGTATGTTTGTTTTCCCAAAAGAAATGTCTTGTTTTGTGTGTTTATCCCATTCAGTTAAGCCTCTAAAGGGAGAATAGTTTTTTGTGTGTGCATATTTTAAGTTAGTCTCCACCGTTACCATATATACAAGATACAGTTTTATTTAGCATTTGCATCCATTGTCTGGATATTTCTGTTTCACTGTGCAGTCAGACACAAAGTCACTACTTTTCTAAATCACTCGTCTACAAAACGACTACTGTGACCTTTTGTACTCCATGTACAGCCTCATGCCCAGTCTGCCTGCTCACTTATGAGGGTTGCTTATGGTCAAATCACTAATTTGACATTTAGAGATTTTACTATGAGATAGGTTGTAGTTCTCTTAGTATAAAAGTTAAGCTAAAAGCAGAAATCTTAGTCATGCATAAAGACTGGAAACAGAAGCAAACAGACTAACAGTTTAAGGTAGAAAACATTTTATAGAAGTAAACCTATTACAGATTTTGTTTGCCTTATGTAAAAAATTGTAACTAAAATTGTTTGGTAGGATGATGTGCTGTTAAAACTTGCATCTTAAATAAGAAATCAGAAATGTTAGCAAATCAAGCAAAGTTGCTCTACCCAAAATATTTCACATCCAACATGATTTAATGTTATATTTACTTTACTTTGGATCTAAAAAGGTTGGATCAGATCCTCTGGATCCTTCTTTGTAGAAACGTTTCATCTTTTATCCAAAAGAGCTTCAGTTTAAGGAGCTGCAACAAACTCAGTCTTATATTATATTATATTATATTAT